ATATGGATGTTCTTCAATGATTTCCTGTTTCTCACTCTCCTTCCTAACACAGCAAAACCCAAAGCACYTTTGATGTCCAGAACCCTCCACATCTGAAGAGGAATGAGGGCTGGAACTGCCTCCAGCCCATGACAATTTTTYCCACTATTTATTATGCAGCCACAAGGGGAAAGACTCATTTGAGGCAAATACCCTCTCTAATGCCAGAAGCAGATGAAAATGCCCAATTTCAGTGCTTGGAGCTCCCCTGACACGACTGAGCTGCCATAAACAAGGGAAGAGCTGTGGCAGCCCTGGCACAGCCATTCAGGGCAGCTCCCTGGAGAGGAGAGGGTTAAGTGAACACCCACTGTAATAGAAGCTTCTGGAAGGGATTAAAGCCAAACAGCAGCTCTGAAGTATAATGAGAGAGGGGAAAAGAAACCRCATCCCAAAAATGCATAATCATACTCCTCACTGGATTCACAGGGTCAGGGATATGGGCTGTGCTGGARGACAGAAAACTCCATTCTGGGCTGATTTCAGCCCAAAAGCTCAGGTGTGTGATAAAGCACCATGGACAAGTGATAGAAAATAATAAAAACAAGATAATGAAAAAAAAAACTCACCTCAGCTTTGTTCTGTTTCTCTTCATATTCACTCTGCTCCTTTTCCATACCAACCAGCTTAATCTTCAGGTCTGAAACTTCAGCCATCAGATCCAATTTCTGAGTCTCCAGYGATGTGCGACTCAGCAGCTCCTGAAAGCAAAGCAGAATATTTTCCCCAGTTATTTCTGTGAGCACTGGCAGGCCCATATTAAACCCTCAGTTTGGACTGTTTCTCAAGCTCTGCAGTTATTTTAATCTAAATAAATTGTTAATCACCAAACCACCGTGTCCCACTTGTTATTTCAAGCCAATGTGTGGCAAAGTTAATCCCTGGGCTAGACACAAAATTGAGAACAAAACCAGGGTTGAACAGACACAAACCTGCATTTGGCATCTTCCTAAACACTCAGACAAAGTTCTGTTTTGGGATTGTATTGTGGACCTTGTCGTGAGTTATTCAATAAAGGATGTGCTGCAGAAGGAGCACCTGAACCAAAAATGAGCACCAAAGACAAGAAACACTTTCCCAGTCACAAACAGTACCTGA